GTTATTGTTACTACAGTAAAACTGTGGCAATTAGGTTTCAAAAGCTAAAGGAGATCTTGTATTAACGTATTACCGTTTTCTAGTAGTAACAATAACTGTTTCATTGTTAAAATTATATTTATAGTATTCTCTGGCCTCAGTGTTATACTGTATCAAATTTTAGACGAAATGAAAAACATTAGTTTGCTGATGGCAAAATTAGCTTTAAAAGCATGTACAGTACAGACGTGCTATTGAAAATCCACTGGAATTATTATAGCATCCGTGGATCTTTTGGTCATGCTTATTTTATAGTTAAAGCATGTTAATATGTTTAATATGTGAATTGTAAGATCACCATGCAGCAGACTGGATGATTTGTTGATTATAATGGGACTGTTCTTGTTTTGTTAGTGACCATCACGTTTACTGAAGAAACTGTAGATATATCAAAAAAATATATAAATATATATTTGTTTTTATATATTGTTTATATATGTTTTTATTAATATATATAATAAAAACAATATGCAGATACATTATAAACTTCTATTTGAAGAAAATCCCACATTGTGCTTTTTTGGTTCTTATGTTTATTTTTTAATATCTTATTTATAGGATTCTCTTTCCTAATAGTAAGGAAAATAAAAACACATATTCACAATCTGAGCTAAATCTGCTCAGCACCAGCTCGCTCTCTCCTCCGTGGTGTCTTGGGTTGGCCGGCGTAAAACTGCTCTTATCTTTTTAATGGTCTGCTCTTATGAGACAGCTGTAAAGGGGGGTGCTGGGATGTGTGGATGTTAGATGTTAATTTGTGCCATAATAGCTTTTCTCGGCGGAATTGCAAATTCTCTTAAATGTCACTTGCAGCATCGCAGCTCAGACAGTCAGGGTCCGTGCAGATAGCAGAGCTGCCTCTCTCTCTCTCTGTATCGTGCTACTTTTAATTTGCAGTAATACAGTAGCGCTGTCAGATTAATGGCTGGTGTGACACCTGTGTCCCCGCAGCCTGCTCTCTCAGCTCCACCGTGTACATAACGCGTGTCACAGCGCATTATCTCTCTGCTCAGCTCGTAATGGGCCCTGTGTCTGAGGCCGCTGCTGACTCCAAACCTACTGTAAGAACAGCGTGAGCTCTTGGCCTTTCTTTGCATGCCGCCACAACCGGGACCCAAAAAACAATCCTTATACCATTAAGATCTGTTACATTGCACCTGACAGTGCGGCCTTTAAAAACTCGCTCTGGTTGTCTCAGATAATGGTTGTTAATGAAGTAAGTTTTTTTTTTTGTAGTGACACCTGTGTCCCCGCAGCCTGCTCTCTCAGCTCCACCGTGTACATAACGCGTGTCACAGCGCATTATCTCTCTGCTCAGCTCGTAATGGGCCCTGTGTCTGAGGCCGCTGCTGACTCCAAACCTACTGTAAGAACAGCGTGAGCTCTTGGCCTTTCTTTGCATGCCGCCACAACCGGGACCCAAAAAACAATCCTTATACCACTAAGATCTGTTACATTGCACCTAACAGTGCGGCCTTTAAAAACTCGCTCTGGTTGTCTCAGATAATGGTTGTTTTCAGTGCAAATTGTTTGTTTGGTGGATTAAGAAACTTTTCCAAGCAACCAGTGAAATCAAAATGGACTTTCTTAATGCACGTTCATGCGTCTGTTTTCCTGTTTAACTAGGAAAAATACATCACATTATGGAAGTAAAATGCACTGAGAAAAAAAATACGATTTTTCTAAAATAAAACAAGGATTAATGAAGTAAGTTTTTTTTTTTGTAATTATTTTGTGAAATTTCTGAGTGAATGTAATCATATCACTCAACATGTCATTCACTAATTTATTTACAGTGCAATTTAGTTCCATAAATATGTATTTTTGATACACCAAATTTATTTTAGCGTGGTTAGCAACGGCAATGCATGCTGACTTTAAACATGTAGCATTATGGGATTTTACATTCTATATTCACTAGAATTTGCTGCAGGGAAGACATTGTTTTAAAAGCATCTTTAGCCGTGTGTTTGTGTGTGTGTGTGGCTGCAGGTTCGTCTGGAAAATATAAAGTATTCCTATTCTGGATTCCAGGTGTCTGCATGCAGTGTGTGTGTGTGTGTGTGTGTGTGCGTGCACACACATGACCGTTTGTGAAGCTATACATAACATACACTGCCCTCCTCCTCTCCTCTCTCTCTCTCCTCCACCTCTTCATCCCCAATGCTTAAATCAAGAAAATGGCCACGCATCAAGAGGATCATTTGGGCCAGAGAACAACCCTCAAAACAGTCAATCATCTTGAAGACGCGCACACAGACACAAGCAGATCTGAAGTCTCCCATCATTCCTGCCGCCGCTGATGTCACCTCTGCGCCCTTGCAGCGTCTGACAGCAAGGAAACGGATGAACCCCAATGCAACACAAACGACTGCGAGTGCAACGCTCTAATCACAAGAAGGACTCTTTCTGTGTGCAAGAGGATCACGTGGTGCTGAATGCGGAACTGTATCAGTTACACGTCGAGAAATGGCAATTGCATGGCTGGCACAGGACATGCATGCTGCTATCTTTGCTTTGTTCTTTTGGTTAATCACCTATTGCCATGAGTCATTCATGCCATAAATAATCTCTCTAGATCCACAAGAAAATGACATCATGACAACTTATGGCACCACATGAATGTACACAGTCCTCAAACCCCTGTAGTGAAGATGGTAAGCTGTGACGTCAAAGTCAGCAGACAGGGAAACATGTAAGTGCATGTATCATTTCTCCGAGTTCTCTCTCCATCACTATTTTACTACGTTGCAACTTTTGAGGTAAAACTAGTCACTGGATTTGCCAAAAGGCATCAAATCTTTGAAAGATATGCAGAGTTTTGTCTGAGATATGTAGAGAAATGTTATGCGCATATCCAAAAGCAAACTGTATATTTTGAAACATTTATATAATAATATATGAATAATTATGAATATAATTCATTAATATTACATTAATTAATAATAATTTATATTGTACATTAATATACAACACATTTAATGATGCAAAGCTGAATTTTCAGCATCATTACTCCAGTCTTCAGTGTCACATGATTCTTCAGAAATCATTCTAATATGCTGATTTGCTGCTCAAGAAACATTTCTGATTATTAAGCTAGCTGCTTCCTATTTTTGTGGAATCCGTGATACATTAATGAATAGAAAGTTCAAACAAACAGCATTTATTTGAAATAGAAACCTTTAGAACATGATACGCATCTTTACTGTTAATTCTGATCAATTTAATTCATCCTTGCTTAATAAAAGTATTACTTTCAAAAAAGAAATATATATATTGCATGTCAATCTAAAATCGTACAATAGTTGGGTGATTGTTGACCAAAATAAGCTGCAAAGTTGACCTGACATGCCCATAGTTAAAGTAAGCGCCGTAGAAAGAGAGAGAGGTCCTTGAGCTAAATGTCCTCTTAAGACTGTCGCTCTTGTTTGACTGAGTTTGTTAGTTGGCTACATCATCTTGACATGTAATTACTGAAGCTCTCTTAATCACTGCAGTGCAGATTAATAACGGGGGACTCCTGTGGGGGGTCACATCACCACATCAACCCCGCTCTGCCCCCCTCTGAGTCACACACTTGATAAATACTGCACCCAATCATCACACATTCAAGGGCAATCTACTCAGAATATTATATGCCAAGAATAAACAAAGTAGATTTAAACAGAAAAATGCATAATACAAAAGCACATTGGACAATGTGAGTCGTCAGATACCAGGTATTTCTCTTCATAAATTTCTCAATATAAACAATATAATATAAAAAATGAAATGCAATTATATTTCAATTAAAAAAATTATATAATTATTTATAATTATGAAGTTATACATTTAATAATAATAATATTAGTAATAATAATTTGTATGATTATTATCATTATTCTTGTTAAAGTTGAAAAAAATAAAAAATAATGATATTGTTTGTAGCCCAGTGGGACTTCAGAAATGATTTTCTGCTTGTCCTCCAAAAGAATGTGAATAAGAGAAAAAACGCAGACTTACGAGCATCTCTTTTCCTCTTTTCTCCATTGGAGCGAGGGATTCCCAGAATGCCATTATTATTATTATCAGTTGAAAATAGTTGTGCTGCTTCATATTTCGGTGGAAACTATTATGCATTAATGAATAGAAAGTTCAAAATAACAGGATTTATTTGACCTGTATAGCATGATAAACATCTTTACTGTGACTTCTGATCAATTTAATGCATCCTTGCTGAATAAAAGTATCACTATCTTTGAAAAAAGAAATACATATATTGCATGTCAATCTGAAATCATACAATAAGTGGATGATCGTTGGCCAGAATTGGCTGCAAAATTGACCAGATGTACGATCGTCAAAGTAAGCGCCGTGAGAGAGAGAGAGGTCCTCTTGTCGCTCTTGTTTGACTGAGTTTGTTAGTTGGCTACATCATCTTGACATGTAATTACTGAAGCTCTCTTAATCACTGCAGTGCAGATTAATAACGGGGGACTCCTGTGGGGGGTCACATCACCACATCAACCCCGCTCTGCCCCCCTCTGAGTCACACACTTGATAAATACTGCACCCAATCATCACACATTCAAGGGCAATCTACTCAGAATATTATATGCCAAGAATAAACAAAGTAGATTTAAACAGAAAAATGCATAATACAAAAGCACATTGGACAATGTGAGTCGTCAGATACCAGGTATTTCTCTTCATAAATTTCTCAATATAAACAATATAATATAAAAAATGAAATGCAATTATATTTCAATTAAAAAAATTATATAATTATTTATAATTATGAAGTTATACATTTAATAATAATAATATTAGTAATAATAATTTGTATGATTATTATCATTATTCTTGTTAAAGTTGAAAAAAATAAAAAATAATGATATTGTTTGTAGCCCAGTGGGACTTCAGAAATGATTTTCTGCTTGTCCTCCAAAAGAATGTGAATAAGAGAAAAAACGCAGACTTACGAGCATCTCTTTTCCTCTTTTCTCCATTGGAGCGAGGGATTCCCAGAATGCCGTTGATTGAGTAGGAGCCCACAGGGTCATTGGAGGAACTGGAGACCGGAGGAGATGCTGTACTGGGGACTATAACGAGTGAAAGAGAGCAAGAGAGAGGGTAGATGATCAAAACTCTTCCCATGTGTATAACATCACATTAGAGTCACTTATATCACTTGCACTTCAAAAGGGTTCAAAGACCAGAGATTTTTTTACATTAAAGCACATGATTACAAATCATACTATCAGCATAACAATTTAGGTGTGAAAATGAACACAAACTCTCTTTTGCATTAATAACAGCAGGACTGGAGCAATGCGAACAAAAGCTGATGATCATGTTCTCCAGCTTGATTCGAGAGCGTCTTAAGCTTCATTGAACGCAAGAACATCTGATTGTCTGTCATGTGATCAATGTTACTGCTTGCATTTGATTAGTCAACTAAAATGTGCATAATCTTTAATATTTCTTCTTTATTTTATGTCATTTAGTCTTTCTTTTTTATTCCCTGATTTAAATTAGTTTTCGGATTTCACTGTTGTCTCAGAATTTTGCCCTTCACTTTATACGATTCAGATTTGATTTATAACACAGACCTGCTAAGTATTTATGCTGTTGTGCAAAAAAGGTCTAATATTACCTAATTTGATGATGCTGAGTTCAAAAATATCAATAAAACTTCCCATCACATTTTTTTTTTCACAAAATAAAAATGAAGATTTTTCAAGTTATAAGCAGATGACAAAAATAAATATTCGAAATGAATAATTGTAACTTACAATCTACAAAGAAGTGAAGAAAAAAAAATCAGGATTGGGCATGAAATAATTATGTCTCCAGAATCAATCATACATGTGAAAATGAGCCGAGAATTGAATAAATAGTTGTAATCTGGCTCAGAGGAAGACAGGAATCATGTTTTTATTGCTGTTTTTCCCGCTGATTAATGGATAAAAGAAGACTTCTTCTTCGAAAGCAAAATTCTACAAAATGCATCATATTTTGTGAGACGCTCAAGCTAAATAGACATTGTTTTTGGAATCAGCACATCAAAACGAGTAAGAAACAAGTATTGGATTTCATTCAGCAAATATGATGCACAGTGGTGTAATGCATTTATTTTTCATTAAACTGATTCTCTTATTGTACACCACAACTTGCCTATAATGAACCAGCAAACTCTTCTGCAAGCTGCAAGCTGACTTTTATCAGAATTCCCAAATTATTTTATCTTATATCAACAGATTATGCTTGGCTTTACCCTTATTCAATGATCCAGACATTGCTTCGTGCATGAGTATATCAACATACTGTTAAATATAAACAGACATAAAGGTGAAATAAATAGTGTTTCGTCAAAGTTAAGCTATTCCCAATACAGTCTTTAAAAGGAGTCACATTTGCCTGCATTCATATTTTAATTCCACTCATAAACAAAGACCTGTTTCCTGTTTCAAAATAGCCAGACTGAATAAATTCATTTAAAGTTTATTGTGCATCTGTACTTTTGAACTAAACCACTAAGACATAGTAGGAAAGCGTCTGATTGTGGATTTTCTTCTGTTAACCGGTCCAGTTGTGGGTAATATCCAGCTCTGAGCAGAAAGCTTTGGCCCTTAATTTGATTTGGAGGGATGACCTTGTCCACAAAGGTCCGAAGATGGCTCCTGCAGTTAATGAAGTGATCTTACCTATAGTGTGTCCTGGGGCGGAAAGAGACGTCCCATCTGGTGAGAGATGAAACGGTTGCTGAACCTTCGTCCGAATGATCCTGCACAGTAAATACAGTACATTTACTCACATGGAACTCCAGAGCCAATGCAGTGTGTCTCAGTGTGTCTCTCTGATAATCTCAGATTTACTTTATATATATCTCCGAGCAGACAGAACGGATAACCGCAGTCGCTCAGATCCTGTTTCCCCCAGCGAGAAGCAGACTCGCTGTACCTTTAAGGTGAGATATAGCGAAAAGCTCTCTGAGCCCTTTTGCCATGAGTGATCTTGCAAACAAAGCATGAAATCACAACAATTCACCTCTGTGTGTGTGTGTTTCGGTCCTGAGGAGAACCTCAGGCTGGGTTCTAGCGTGGATGAGGTTCTATTGATCTAGACTCTAGGATAAAAAGTTCTGAATTAGCCACATGGGTACCGGGATGCAAATGGAAAGCTATAAATTATATGTGACATGAAAGCAATAGTTGCTCAGTGCGGTGTACAAGCTTACGCCAGCATTTGATAATGTTAATCTGAACGGCACTTTGGGAAAAAAGGCCCTCTGTCACGCTCATTTGTAAACTTTAGATCTATTCATCACCAGTGGCATTGCTTCTGTTTCAGCATACATATGCAAACAAATGCACTGGAAGCGACGTAAGTGTATGCGCATGTTTGTGCTTTTTTTGTGACATTTTTCATTTCATGCACCATGAAGGTTATTGATTGTAAAAATATTTAGAATAGACCATGGATACTATTCAACGAGCAAATATATTTCCATTAAAATGAGTGTGCTGCTAATATTGATATCTGCTGAAATAACATCAGCTTTAGGGATGTATCCTCAGGGCATTGAAACAGAGAATGAAAAGAACATGCAGTGACAACATAATAATATATTTCATTTCTCTCTTTAAAACTATTGTTTGATCCCCTCGCATGGCCTGGGGAGAATAAATCTGCAGACTTTATCCACAATCTATGTTTCTGTTACTGAATAAGTCATTTGGAAGAGTGAATTAATGTCTGGGTTGTGTCTGAAAATCCTCAGAAGAAATATTAAAATTGCTTTACATGTGAATCAATAATATTGAGCGCAGTTGAGGAGGTTTTTATAAGTCTGGCGGTTTCGGTGCTGTCACTTGTTGGCTGTAGAGACACTTTAGTAGAACAGGAACTCTGTAACACTTAATAATGTATGTTCAAGAAAAGTGTTGCGAGTCTGAACATCCTCTCACTGTCAACAGGCCCGGTCTCAGTTTGCACACACAACTAGAGCTTTTTTCTTTCATGCAACATTTTGCTTCATTGAATAAAGCACAAGAGCTTGTAGGTGCAACTGATCTCTTATTGTACGCCTATTGCCTATAATGAATCAGCAAACTCTTCTCTTATATCTTATATCAACAGATTCTGCTTGGTTTTACCCTTATTCAATAATACAGACATTGCTTCGTGCATGAGTATATCAACATAATATAAACAGACATAAAGGTGAAATAAATAGTGTTTCGTCAAAGTTAAGCTATTCCCAAATACAGTCTTTAAAAGGAGTCACATTTGCCTGCATTCATATTTTAATTCCCCTCATAAACAAAGACCTGTTTTCTGTTTCAAAATAGCCAGACTGAATTCAATTAGATTTTAGAGACGTTTAAGGGCTTGGGTAATTACATTAACGTACATTTTGCATTTATCTCCCAAGTTCATGTCAAAAGACGTTCAAATGGCCCTCTTTAGGTGACCATGAGGCATGAAATGACTTTTTTCTAGCCTTCTCTTCTGTTGTGTGAGGCGCTCTATTCTTCGCCATCGACTCATTAAAATGTAATGCAGAGTCTGGTTTTATGGAAGAGTGAATCATAACCAAAGTTCAGCGCCTCACTGCTTCTTTTTACCAGTTTGATTTTCCACACAAGTCTAACGCACCACCCTAAACCACCATTTTAAGGACGTAAATAGGATCATATTGGATTATGGATTATGCATCCTGCAGATTTCCCATATTTGTAGGCTAGGTGGTATATTATCGATCATCATTCCAGTTGGAACAAAAATAGAAATGTTAAAAATAAAACCTTGTGAACTGTAAAAAATAAATAAAAACACATTTTCACACTTTCATTTCATTATTATTTCACAGCAGTATCTATTCATTAAGAATTTATTTTCTAGAGTAGACTATTATTTTTTTACACAAATAAGCATCCGAACACAGCATATATTAAGTATCTAATATTGAATTTGTTGTTTTGGGAAACTGACAATGATGAAACATTTGAAAACCCTTGCTGCTTCCAAATGACTGTCTTATATATTATTTTGCAAAATAGAAGGAACAGATAAATAGCGGTATAAACCCTAATCGAGCAGCTCTGGGTCTCTTTTACCAGATCTGATCGCCATTCATTGATCGGTTTTCACTCGGTCAGATGAGATTTTAGAGCTTCAGTCTGTCATTGTTGCGGTACTTTGAAGCAGGGGGTTGCGTTTCATCCATAAGCCCACCGACAAAGCCACAGAACAGAGCTTTA